TGGGAAGCACACACTGGGCCCTCCCCAGAGGAGGAGGACAGCACTGTACCACACAGGCCACAGTCCAGACTGCTCATTCCTCTCCCCTGACGCCTGCTGGAATGTCTCCACCCACCCCATAAATGTGATTTGGAAAACCTCTTGTCACAGTCAGCAACTCTGCCCTGCGTCCCCTCTCTGAGGTCACCAAAAGATGGGATCTGAGCCCTCATTTCCTCCAAGAGCTCCTGGCTCATTCTGGAGAGAGCGGCTAAGCCTTGCGTTCTCGATAACCAGCTCCAGCCGGAGGAGAACAGGCGTGACCCCAGCTCAGGGACACAAACAAGGGAGAGCAGGGCGGGGAGGGCTAGAGACAGCAGGAAAGAATTTGACAGCCAGGCAGAGACTGATGGGAAAAGACTTTTTACAGACAGCCCAAGCCAACAGGACAGACAGGCCAGGAACAAAGATTACACAAACGAGGAATAAGGACCAGCCTAGGCAATCAAAGACAGCACCAGGACGTCCGAGGTTAGAAAACAGACTGGCCAAAAGGCAGCCGGTCACCCTGGTCATGATGGAATAGAATCTCCCACAGTGCTGAACTGTCAGTCACTGCCTGCTTTTGCAGAGATAGCCACAAGGGGGCAGCATTGGTCCAAGAAAGTCCACAAGACTGTGGGCTCAGAACGATCAAGCCAGACTCTGAAGTCTGTAAATGAGGGACCACGAATATCCACATTCTAAGCTGGAGAGTCCCCTTTCCTTGCAGCAGGATGTCCTCAAACTAGGCCCTTGCCTCCACATTCCCCACCCCCAGCCTCGTTCACTATTAACATCTCCCGGTCCCCGCAGATCTGGAATTTGCGCTCAGCCCCTAGAGCAGTGCTTGGCGTCTTCCTCATGAGCCCTTGGGTTCCGAGTATGGCCCCTGAAGATCCAGGAGTCTTAGCTGACCATATGCTCAGCAGCAGTGTGCAGGGCTAAAAACACACTTGACCCGAGGCGGCTTTCACGGAACCAAGCGGCAACAGGATGCGGTCTTTGGAACATCTTTCAAAGGGCGCTTAAGAAAGCAGTGCAAGGGGCTGGAGAGATGGCTCAGTGGTTAAGAGCACTGACTGCTCTTCCAGAGGACCCGGGTTCAATTCCCAGCACCCACATGGCAGCTCACAACTGTCTGAAGATCAGTTCCAGGGGATCTGACACTTCACACCAATGCACATAAAATAAAGTTAAATAAACCATAAAAATATTAAAAAAAAAAAAAACAAAGAAAAAAGAAAGCAGTGCAAAGCCGGAGGAAGAGCCCCGTGGAAAAGCCCTGGTTACACTACCCTCAGTGACACAGCAATGCTATCATACGCTTTGTCATCTGTAAGTCAAGCGTCTTGTGTAACCATACCCATTTTACAGATGGCAAAACTTGTAGAGACTCCCTTCCCATGACTCTCTCTTCCCCCTGAGTCACAGCCACACCCACCGTCTAGCCTTGATTCCCAAATGGTCCTGAGTTTCCCCGCTGGCCTTCAGACCAGTCCATCCACTGCCTTCTCCTGCCCCGCCCCCAAGTCTGAGCTAGGACTGTAACAAGGATCTTGTACATCTTAAAACTGAGTTGTACCCCTGTGAGACCTATTCTTGGTTTTCAACTTGACTACATTTGGAATTAACTAAAGCCCAAGTGGCTGGGTCCACCTGTGAGGGGTGTTTCTTGATTGAATCATGGGGGGACCCACCCAACCGGTGGGGGGGGACCCACCCTAAATCCAGATCATTTAAGGTCAAAGGGCCCACGTTAAATCTGGGACACACTTTCTGGTGGCAGCCTACATATAAAGGACGTGGACGAAGGGAGCTTTTGCTCTTTGCCCGCTTGCTCTCCCTCTTGCTGGAGCATTAGAGCTACTTCTTTGTGATTGCAGCATCCGCTGAAGACCAGCAGAGACATCCAGCTTCGTGGACTCAGCAATTGCTGGATTCCTGGACTTTCCCTGTCGGTAGGCAACCATTGTTGGAATAGCGGACCACAGCCTGTGAGGCACGCTAATAGTTTTGAGAGATTCATTGTGTCTGGTCTGTTCCTCTGTAGAACCCTGATGACTATGGCCCCAAGCTGATTCTGATTTCAGTGTCCCGAGGTGTTGGGGACTGCGGACCACCAGACCCTGAATTTCTTGTAAACAACTTGTTCTTGTTTTCCTCTGCTCTGAGCAGCCTGCAACTGAGCCAGAGACCTTGATGGCAGGGAGTGGTTTCTGATGAGGTCTGCAGCTGAAAGATCCCAAGAGCTGGGAATGGCTAAGGATCCCTACATAAGTTTCTCTGGAGCACAATAAACTTGGCATTCTTGTATCAAGGATGACCCGTGTCCAGGTCTCTCTCTTTCTGTCTCTGTGCGTGTGTTTTTAGGTCTCCAGGCCCAGTTCCCGGCTCACGTACCGACCTGTAGAGGCGCGGGCACTACAGGTGTAGTACCATAGAGCATGGAGTGGACGCTGTTTTACACTGAGGCATCTAAAGTTCTGGGTACTCAGGATGATTTTGCTCTCGCCACTGACACATGTGCACTGTGTGGCTCCATGCCTGAAGCACCTCATCCTGTCCCCTCTGTCTCCACCATGATTCTAGCCTCCCAGCCCTGCCTTGAAGTCTATCCCTATCCCTGGGCCTTGCTACCCTCATCCTTCCCCTCCCCTTGTGACAACCCCAAACTGCTTCCTGTTGTTACTGAGCCTATGGACACTGCAGTCAGAGAGGCAGGACTAAAGATCCCCTCTAAAGGGACATTCAGGCTCCTCCCCAATGACCTCCCAATAAATTAGAACCCCCCACACACACACCCACAGGAAGCTTGTGCTGGAAGAAGGAAAAGACTGTGGCCCTGCGACCAGCCAGAGGAGGCTCCCGTCTCTCAGAGATGTCATATGGCTCTGACACTCGCCAGATCATCTTGCAGGAGGGTGGTACTGAGACAAGGAAGAGTCAGTGATGGGTGGGACCACACCTTGACCAGGACTGCTCAGATGGGTGTTCCTTCTGCCTTCTGTTTAAACTGAAGTTTCATGTCAGGATCCCAAGATGAATTTGGAGGTTAGCTTTCAGTCATATTGGATTGGGGCCTGTCCATCTGTCCTCAGTTTACCTTGATTTCCCTTTCAAAGGCCTAACTTCCAAGTACATCTGGTCCACCGGGGTTGGTATAGCGTATGTATTTGTGAGGAAAACACAATACAGCCCATGACGACCCCAAGCAGGCACGTCATTGTCCTTGCATAGCTTCGGGGCATCAGGGAAGCTTTGTCAGGTGTTCAAAGCACCTGCTTCTTCACCACACAAAGCCAGTACACAACAACTATGACCATCCGAGGCCACAGTGGCTACTACTGCCACCAAAGAAGTCAACATGATGAAAGTAATTTCTCTGACCCACTGCCCCAAACAGAATCATCACAGCCCTCCCTGATCCACAGGCTCTGTACCCCTTGACTCCTACTGTCCAACGGGAGTGTGAACCATGCCTGGGCATGGTGATGGGTAGACCATGCCTGGGCATCACCCTCTGGCCCTGGCCTTTTGCTTCCTTATAGATTACCCACTGTGCCAAAGACAGGGGTTATCTGCTGCAGGAGCTCTGGGAAGTGTCCAGGTAGAAAAAGTGGGGATCAGACAAGGTGAGGACAATGGGGGAGAAAGTGAGGTCCAAAGGAGGGGAAACACACACACAGGTGACCAACGGCATGAGGGAGGGCTGGAGAAAGAGAAACCCAGAGTGGTTCCTGGAAGAGAACCTCCTTTCCTCCCCCCTCTCTGTCTCTCTGTCTGTCTCTCTCTCTCTGTCTCTCTCTGTCTCTCTCTCTCTCTCTCTCTCTCTCTCTCTCTCTCTCTCGTTTCAGCTTACTGACTCTGCCCAAGAACCAGCCTGTGGTTGTCGGCTCGTGATCACAAGAGATTCCCTTCCTGCCCTCAAAGCTCTCCCACCGTGGCTGGGGTTTTGCCGGAAGAGTTATATGTGGAAAGGAACCGGATTCCATCCGGCAATCGGAGATATGTGTCTCTCCAAGGAGACAGGGGAGCCGGCTGCAGCAGTGGGAAAAGAGGAAGTGAGGCCCCTCGGAGATCGCCTTACCCCAGGATGTGGTTTGAATTCCACTCTACTCTCCCAGCCACTCCCTGTGCACCATTTATTAAGGGCACCAAATTAAAAACACAAGATGTAATTGCAACATGGACTCTCATGGGCTCAGTCTCCAAAATTGTCAGGGGATGAGGTAGGGCAAGACGGACAACACAGACCACAAACCCAAGGAAGAAAGCAGAGTCAGCACCCATACTAAACAGCCAGGCCCTCCCCTGTGAGCTCAGGGAATGCTGTCCGGGGAGTGTCACTTCACAAGACGGACAGACAGACAGACAGACAGACAGACACACACACACACACACACACACACACACACACACACACACACTCCTAGAGTGCAGGTCCTGTGGTAGGGACAGAATCCCCCACACCGTGTCTTCCTCCATCATCACAAGCATGTTCTGAACTGCTCAGTCATCTGTAATTCAGCCCCTCTCCTAGCCAAAGGTTTCCCTCCCTGTCTTGTTCCTACTTTCCCCTCCTTGTCTTACCCTAGAGCCTGCCCCCCATGTAATGCTTCGCCCCAGCAGAGAGCATCAGAACCCTCCAGCTTCCTGCTTTGCACCCCCTCCCCAAGTCTTCTGACCCCTGCCTCCTCTCTCCACTCCCGACATGGAACCTTCCCTCAGGCCCGAGGCTCTTGCTCTTCTGCATGGAGCCAGCACGTAACACCAGTTCCCTTGGGTCTTGAATCCTCTCAACAATCTGCCCAAGCCCTCAAAGCCCTTCCATTCCCTGCTGCAGCATGAAGAGCAGCTTGGTCTTCTACAGTCTGGACCAGCAGCAGCATAGATACGTCTCTGAACGTCCACGCAGTGGTCCTGGGTTCTCTTGTTTCTCCATGTTCCTTTCCTAACTCCCTCCCGGTTCTTCTTCTCAGCTGCCTCTCAAGTATGCTGATTTTCAGACATTTTACCTGGAACCCCCTCTCTCCCACATCACCAAGCTCTCCTTGAGACAGCCTGAAATCTGCTCCTGGGTGCCCCAGACTTCTGCTTCCTTATATTTGTCTGATGCACTCGTCTTCCCCACAGGTACCCCAATATTCCATCACCCCGTCATCCTCCAGATGTGAAAAATAGCTTCACACCCACTCCAGCTCACGACCCTTCCCCTCTCCATGCCCACTAGCTGCCCCTCAATAGCTAAAGAAGCAAGGGATATTATTTTACTAAGAGCCGTCAGACTCCAGGCACTGGGCAAAGGGCCTTCTTGTGTGCCTTCTCATTTCCACTGACTTTGTGTGTAATGTATGCAGCACATGCCTACTTTACTGTTTGTGTGTGGAAGGGTAGACCAGGTTAACATTGAACTTCCAATCCTCCTGTCTCTGCCTCCTAAGTGCTTCAGCTCTCCCATAGTCTCATCTGGCTACATGCAGTTTTACTTGTGGACCTCAGTTAGGGACGGGAGGAGGTAAGTGAGCTGCCTCTGTCTGAAGGTCACCGGCGGGGGGGGGGGGGGGGGGGGGAAGGTGCAGACCTGACCACTCAAGTTCTCTCTTAGCAGCCCAGCCCCTAAAGGCACCCCAAGCTGTCCCAGTCCGCCCTCTCCCTAGCCAGAAGGAAGGGCTCAAATCACCTTCATCATCAGAGAACACCTTTGTCCCTCTCTTCCTTGAGGCCCGCCAACAGTGCCCTTCCCGGGGAGACCTCCAGTCACTGTGCTATGCCAGGAAGCCCTGAGCATGCTGGGTACTCATACTGCTTGTGGTGATGTGTTTATTCCAGCTTCAGGCCCAGCACAGACCCTGGGGATATCAAGCTGGTCCTCAGTAAAAACCAAAATCTGCATCTAGAGCTTTGGCCAGTTGAGTTCCAGACTAGATGATGACTCCACCCACTGGAGACTTCGAGTCTGACGTCCTGGGTCTGGGGATCCAGGTGTTCTTACATGGAGTTTCTAGAGAAACGCTGATCCCGACCAGGGCAGCCTAGAGGGACGCCACCCTTACTTACTACCCAACTATAGATCAATGGGACCGGCCTGCCCTGACTCTTGCTGACTTAGTTAAGGTTTCTATCGTTGTGCAGGCAGACCTGGTGTTGGAATAGTAGCTTAGAGTCCTACATCTTGCAGGCAACAGGAAATCCACTGAGATACTGGGCAGTGTCTTGAGCATAGGGCACCTCAAAGACCACCCCCATGGTGACACACTTCCTCCAACAAGGCCACACCCACTCCAACCAAGCCACACCTCCTAATAGTGCCACTCCCTATGATCTTATGGGGCTAATTACATTCAAACTACCACACTTTAAAAAAACAAAAACACTTCTAGGGAACACGGGGCTAGCAGCAGACAGAGTTGCTGCTGGAGGAGAAAACGTTCACATTCCCCAGGCACTGCAAGCTTAGGCGATCAATACCTCAGTACCCTGGGAATCCATTCCTGACATCACCTGTACCAAGAGCTTCCAGAAAGTACTCAAAGCCAGATGCAGCTGCCTGGCACTGACAAGAGTTCTGGGGCTATGCAGCCCCAGTGAACTGTGGCCTCCAAGACAGCAATGCCGAGCAGCAGTGTGGCCGTCTGACCAGCAGTGTGTGCAGCTTGGAACCATTCCCACTGCAGGATCCTGGGTAAATTTGGTCCCCCAGCCTGAGACCAGTATCCATGACAAGCCCTGAGGGTCCATCCTTCAAAGCTCACCCTGCCCCTCCTCCCTGTGGGTGGGGTCAGTAACCAGAGGCATCTGGGAACAGAGAAAGGCCGCTGCAGTGACATCAAGTACTTTCGAACCCTTTTACTCCATTAACGGCTAAAAGGAACAAGAGGGCGGCCAATCAGCTGGTCCTTGCGGCTGCTGGGAGCTCTCAAATGGTCCTCTAAAACACTTCTCTTTGCCAGGTGAATATGGTCCCCATGGCCCCACACCATCAGAGACCTTTCTGGAGAGAATAAACACGTGGGAGATTTACCTTTATGAAACATTAACATGGAACTGAAAGTTGGAAGGACCTGATGTCATCGCATCTTTAGATAGGAAACTGATGCCCTGCGGCATCAAGCCTCTAATCCCAGGCCCCAGGAGATAGGCAGGAGGCTCAGGAGTTCAAAAGTCAGTCTTGAGTATATAGCAAGTTCGAGGTCAACCTAAGCAGTGTGTTGAGACCCTTCTCAAAACAGACAAACAAGCAAAGTCATCGAGATTACTCAGCAGGTTAAGGATTTGCCACCAAGCCCAAAGACCAGAGTTTGATCCCCCGCACTTACAAAACAGAAAGAGATAATTGGCTTCCGAAAGTTGTTTTCCGACCTCCAGGCACATGCTCCCTGATCAATGAAGGAAGCGAGCAAACAAGCAATGCAAACAGACCAAAAATAAGATATGTACCATGTGGCAAACATTCCTTTGCCCTGAGAAGTTCACTGGTAGGTGAATTCAAATTCTCTGAAGATATTGAGAGCCCTGAGCAACTGAGGCAAAACTGGCATTCAGCCAATTATAAACCAGGGATAGGTGTGCGTGGATGGATGGATGGATGGATGGATGGATGGAAAGATGAGTGAGTGGATGGGTGGATGGATGAGATGGGTAAATTCACAGAAACAGAGAAACTGTGGTTTATATTATCTTAAGTATTTAAAACTCACTCTCAAAATGGCTGACAACTGAGGTAATTTCTTCAAGGCAGTCTGACTGCTTTTTCTGCTAAGAGGAATTGGCTCTACTGAGCAAATTGGCAGAAAGCAAGACATCAGCAATCTTCAATTTTAATTAAGTCGTTAACACAACTCCAATCCTGTGGTTTTCTCTACATCTTTTAGATTAAAACCTATCTTAAGAAACTCTGCTAGGGGGAACTTGCCCAAGGAGTCGGTAAAGATCCTCCGGGACTGGCTGTATCTGCACCGCTACAATGCCTACCCTTCAGAGCAGGAGAAGCTGAGTCTCTCCGGACAGACCAACCTCTCGGTGCTGCAGATATGTAACTGGTTCATCAATGCCCGGCGTCGCCTTCTCCCAGACATGCTTCGGAAGGATGGCAAAGACCCCAATCAGTTCACCATTTCCCGCCGTGGGGGCCAAGGTGAAAAGCCAGCAGCTCCCTACCCACAAGTGGAGCTGGAATCCCCTAAGGCTCTGGTGACCCCTGGGAGCACGCTCACCCTGCTGACTAGAGCTGAGGCTGGAAGCCCCACAGGTGGACTCTTCAATACGCCGCCACCCACACCCCCAGAGCAGGACAAGGAAGACTTCAGCAGCTTCCAGTTGCTGGTGGAAGTGGCGCTGCAGAGGGCCGCTGAAATGGAGCTTCAGAAGCAGCAGGGTCCGGCACCCCCATTACTACATGCTTCCCTTCCTCTAGTCTCAGAAAATGCCAAGTAGGCACCTGCTACCAGGCGGCTTGAGGTTCAAGCCAGCTGTCCCAGGTTCCTGGTTCACTTCCCCTTCATACAGAGGGCTATCTATGGATCACTGCCAAGCATCGGGATCATCTGTCCAGAGGTCTTCAGCAGAGAGACAGCAGCTGGTGTCTCTGCACTGTTACGGGGCCTGTGCTCTGCTGACTGCATTCCTTCAAGTTTCCTATCGGAGGAGACAAAGGCACCAGAGCCAGGCATGGTGCTGCTGCTGCTTCTCCAGAGAGCCCTGGGACACCTGCACTCCGACCCGCTTTCCTAGGCAGGCTCAGGAAACCTGCCAAGTTCAGACTTGAGCTGGGTCCAAGCTGCCCTTAGGCTGTGCCTCTTTTGGTCAAGCCAGGTGTGCGTGCACATTCCAGCTTACTCGAAAGAAAAGGCCCAGCAGATGTCACAGAACCGACTTCAGTTGAATGTTTAGATTTTTGCGAAATTGTTTCTTTTCTTTTTGCTCTGCTCTGTCGATGGCAGTAGGTAGCCCGGAAGCACAGGTGTGGGGAGAGAGCACCTTATGCGATGGAGCTTTATAGGCGGGTGATCTGCCGCTGCACCGGGGTGATTGTATAAGGGACCAGCAGAATAGCTGCAGCTGTGCTGAATTCCAGCTGGAAGTGGTTGTTTGATTCTTGGTTTGGATTACTCTATTGTAAAAGACAAGAAAAATACCTACAGGTGTTGGATTACTACACCAGGCACAGAAGGGGAGAAAGCCACAGCCAAATCCAGCTGAAGCAGATAGCCATTTAGACACATCAGAGACGATGCTAAGACCCAGAGACATACTTGTTTTCATTGTATTTTGGGGTGACTGAGCTAGACTGAAACAGCTTTTGTTTTCTCTCTCTCTTTTGGGTGTTGTCTCCCCCTTCCCCTTATTTTTTTGTAGCCTGTTTGGAGTCATTCAGGAGTTTGGCCAGATGTCGAAAGCACCAGCATCTCCTGCTTTGGGAAAAGTGAGCCATCTGCTGGTCAGGAGGCCCTTCAAACATGCCACTTCACAAAAGTAGCTGGGACCTTGGTGGGGAAAGGGGCCCAGCACCTGGGAGCGGGTCTCTTTCACCTCCTTTCAAATTGGAATTGCAAGGGCCTGCCTAAATTTCCCAGGGAAACAGATCACACGTGGTTTTGATCTCTTCCCTTCCCTCCCTTTTTTACTTTGCTGTTTTGTTAGTTTTCAGCAACAGTATACCCCATCTTTATATATCTTAAGAAACACTAATCCTAGGTTTTTATTAACCAAAAATATTTGTGTTCTGAATAACCAGAAGATTTGAGAAGCCCTGACTATAATTTCCTGATGTTTACTAGGTTGTAAACACAGAGAAGGGGCTCCTGGGTGTTCACCGACTTAGAGTGCCTGTCCCAGAGAAACACAACACCATTCTGGCCTTTCTAGGAAGCCCCCTGCCACTCATATAGGCTTCCCTACCTCTCCTGAGTGTTTAGCTCCATCCCTTGCTGTGCAAGTGGGAACTGAGAGATTTGCTCTCTGTAGGGGATTGCTTTCCTAGGCTGGATCTCTTGCCTCCCTCCAAGAGATCTGGCATCCTCACCCCCTCAAGGCACTGCTGGGGAAGGATGAACATGGCAGCTTTGTAGAATTTGCTGTTTGCCTGCTTGTACCCCACTGTCCGTGAGCCTAGATCCCGTGATTGCTGCAGAAGGCCTACAGTAGGGGTGATACTAGGATGAGCGGGAGTTTTCTCCCCCACAGTGCACTGAGCAGGGGAGGGGGGAGGGAGCCATGCTGCTGACATATTCTGGCATTCCCCCCTCCTGGAATAAAATGGGGCATCTGAGGGGTGGGACAGTCTCTGCTTAGGTTGCTTGTAAAGATAAATCTGGAGAAGCATGGTTGTCCCATTGAACAATATTTGAGCAAAAAACTACTGTAAATAACTGGTTTTTGTCTTTTGTCAAATAAAGTTGTTTGTTTTTATTTTTAAAGTCAAAAAAAAAAAAGAAACTCTGCTAAGTTCTATTTGAGTCATGATCAAGGCAGAGGACTCATCGTGATTTCTTATTTCTATATAATGTAATATTTTCTGAATAAGTTTACTAGGAAATTCATTCTGATCATATCTTACTTGATGTTAAAGCTTGCTAATATTTCTCTTCCTCTTCAGCACCACTTAGTAATTGAAAGGAGATTGTCAGTGAGGCAGGTCGGATTCTGATTGGATAGGCAGCCAATCAACAAAGCAGACACAGTGGCGCAGCTGGAAACAGGATGAAGCCACAGATGATGTGTTCCAGCGGTGCATGGGAAGTGTTGGCTTAAAAGGCCTGCCTGCTTTGCTCCAGATGCTGTTACAGACTAAGAATGCGTTCTCAGTTAGAAAGCCGCAGCTTGGCCCCATCCCATACTGATGACGACAGTGCAGCCCTCCGGTATTTCATTTCCCCTTCCCACTCTGACAACTGGTGTCTGTGCACAGGCTTTTAAACTGAAAAGAGAAATCCTAATGGTCTGTTTCAGTTAACACAAGAAGGAGATGCCTCAGGGAATGTACTGGCTCTGTGGAAGCCTCGCTTCTCTCCACCGGCAGCACACTAAGTCAGCACTTGTCTTTATATCCAGTAAGTTAGTTTCTTTGTTTTTAAATAAAACACACACACACACACAGTACCTGCTCTGTTCAACTAGTGAATTTTAATGGCTTTCATTTATCATTTTAAATCACACAATTCTAAAACTCCTTTGTACATAGTTGTTATATGTAAGACAACCTGTCTTTAACTACATTACTCTTAAAAAAGAAAACTTCAGGGCCAGTGAGATGACTCTGCAGGAAAAGGCACTTGCTGCCAAGCCTGATGGCCTGAGTTTGATCCCCGGGACCCCTGTGATGGAAGGAGGAAACCAGCTCCCACAAGTTGTCTCCCGACCAAGAGTGTGCCCTGGCACATACTTAACCATGAAGGCACAAAAATAAACTCATACATACACAAGTAAATGTTCAATAAAATTAATCCTCAATAATCTTCCCATCAAGTTAGGCACTGTTTAAAAAGCTTCCACCTTGTTTAAAAGAAAGATGAACTATCACTTTACTAATGTAGGACTGTTACAGGATTTTTGTTCATTTTGACACAGTTTTTTTAAATTATATATTTTCTAGGAACTTATCCATTTTTCAATATCAATTCTGTTGGTGGTGTTACTGATGCACTGTAGTGTGTGTGTGTGTGTGTGTGTGTGTGTATGTGTGGTACACGTGTGTGCAGGATGTAAGCACAAGCCTGCACAGGACAGAGGACAGTCTCAGGTGTCATTCCTCCTACATCATTGCTCTGAGACTCACTGAGCAGGCTAGGCTGGCTGTGACTCACAGAGAATCCTCTGCAACACTGGGATTACAGCAAGCGAGCACCACAACACCCAACTTCCTTTTTTTCTTTTTTTCTTTCTTCTTTTTTTTTTTTTTTTGTGGTTTTTCGAGACAGGGTTTCTCTGTAGCTTTAGTGCCTCTCCCAGAACTAGCTCTTGTAGACCAGGCTGGCCTCGAACTCCCAGAGATCCGCCTGCCTCTGCCTCCCGAATGCTGGGATTAAAGGCATGTGCCACTACCACCCGGCTTTTCTTTTTTTTTATATTTATTTATTTATTATGTATATAATATTCTGTTTGTGTGTATGCCTGCAGGCCAGAAGAGGACACCAGACACCATTATAGATGGTTGTGAGCCACCATGTGATTGCTGGGAATTCAACTCAGGACCTTCGGAAGAGCAGGCAATGCTCTTAACCTCTGAGCTATCTCTCCAGCCCTTCTTTTTTCTCTTTTAATATTTATTTAATTTTATGTGTTTGAGTGTTTCACCTGCATATGTTTCTGTGCACCATCTATGTGCCTGGTGCCTTTAGAAGTCAGAAGAGGGTGTCTAGTCCTGGGGAACTAGAGTTATCGATGGCTGTGAACCACTATGTGGGGGCTGCGAACTTGAACCCAGGTTCTCTGGAAGAGCAGGCAAAACTTTTCACCTCTGAACAGTCTCCCCAGCCCAAATAAATGTAATTTCCAAGTGTATCTTTAACTGTTGGATGGACGCTCCGTTTCTGTCCATCCTTTACAGTGAACTTGCGGTTGTGCCTCTTCTGTTCTTGTTCAGTGCTAGCCAAGCCCAGGATCTCACATGCGCCGGGCAAGCGCACTATCTCAAAGGCACATCTTCAACCCACTCTGCAGCTCCTTCTGTCAATGCTGATCTTTGACTTACCAAAATGAGAAAGGCGTATTGAAATCTTCCATGGTAGTCTCCATGATTATCCATGAATTTAAAAAAGTCTTTGTTCTATATCTGTCTCCATATCTGTTGCCATACTGCCTAATTCTCTCTCTCTCTCTCTCTCTCTCTCTCTCCTCTCCTCTCCTCTCCTCTTCTCTCTCTCTCTCTCTCTCTCTCTCTCTCTCTCTCTCTCCTCCTAAACTTTAATTAGACAGATGTGTTCATCTGTTTTCAGTTGCCATCATGAAACACTTTAGACTGAGTATGGAACTAGTTTGTGCTGGACCAGCCTTCTGGAGGCTGGGAAGCCTAAGAATGTGGTGTTAGCCAGCTGCTTCAATTTATGGCAGAACTCAGAAGGGCAAGCAGGTACCTGTGAAGGACAAACAGGAGGAACAGCCTTGCTTTGTAACAAGCCCACCACGCAGTCACTAGCCCCACCCAAGAGGAACTCACTCCCTCAGGGAGCACAATTGATCCCTCTCTCTTTCCCCCCAAACATAATATTTTCATTAATTTTTGAGAATCTCATACAATACACCCCAATCACACTCGCTTCTCACTTCTCCCAGGCTCACCCTCCCTCCCCTGTACTCCAACCCAAACAAAAAACAAGACAAAATAAAAATACAGTAAAGTCCAATCTGTGTTTCCCATACACTCACTGGAGCATGGTCAAACTCCCAGCGGCCAGTCCCTTAAAGATAACGGAGTCCTTCCCGTGCCCCACCCTCACCAGGAGCCATCAGCTGTTAAGGGTTACCCTTCAGCATCTTCACCACAGTTGCAAGGACTCTTCAGTAGCTTCCTGTCAGGAGAGGGTCACAGAAGCCTGCCATGTCTCTCATTCTCAGTTATGAATTCGCAGTCATCGATGCCACTGCAAAAGACGTGTCCTGGCCCACAGCAGCCAGGGCAGCACAGATCACGGACTTCCACACGGTTTCCGGCAGCAGCACGGACTGCAGAGTTAAGCATAGTACAGCGGCAGCTTGGATCATGGACAGCCCCGATTCCTCTGAATGGCCAGCTCCTCTAGGAGCTCCCCAAGTGGCACCTTCAGTGCTGCTACATTGGAAATGAGGTCTCGGCATGAGTCTCGGTGTCAGGAAATCACAGTCGTGGCTATCAAACTGTTTTACTTTATCCACATTCTGTCATTTCT